AGAGTCTTGGAAGGGTTTTCTGTGAGGTGGCAGTGAAATCATCTCAGTGATGCCTGCAGGATTTCTCTGCCTGGGCTGCAGGAAGGCCTGCAGACGAATGAACCGAATCAACAAGAACACAAAAATGTTCCTTTTCCTTTGAAGCGCGATGTGTTGGGAACCAACGGGAAGCCCGTTTTAGACATTTTTATCCTCTCATCATTCAAACAAACCTCTCCTTCAACTAACATAGGAAGCTGTGCACAAAGAGTGGATATCTGTGAGCAAAAACAGCCTATTTCAGGAGCTCCGGGTTTGAGGATGTGGGTTACAAGGTTACTGATACACAGTCTGACTCTTTGATATCACTCAGCTTTTCTTCTCTGCATCGTCCTGACCTCCATCAGCTCAACACAAGAAAGCATCGCAGGGTGCTTGTGCATTAAAACCTGCAGTGATTCCTGATGAGGCTGCAAACCGGGATGTGACACAGCTTGCTGTGTTTACTCATTGTTTGGCAGCAACCCCCACCATGCAGCAGGAACAGAAAATAAAGATGGATCCAGCTGATAACCATGGGAACGGTTCTCCACAACAATATCGCCCACTTCTACTCTCTGGCTGCTTTATGGCTCCGATGCGTGATACTGGGACACAGTTCTTAGACCGTGTGTTTTTGTGTAATCGGTCCAAGAGAACAACCTCCGGGGATGGAAAAGAGCCCACGCTGGTGTACCAAACGCTGCAGGTCCTCTGTTTACTTAAGGTTCCAATAGTGACTCATAGACTCCTGTGTTAATGTCCAATTTTAAAGCAGAGAAACAAAATTCTGTGTTCATAGGTTATGAATTCACTTTGCTAACCAAGCTAATTTATAATAGCTGATAAAGTTAAAATAAGTGTAGCCCAGCCATGCTGGCTATGTCCATATTTTATATATAGTCTTTGACTTGATCCCTGTTTCTTTTAGTGGGTTTTTCCATTCATACAACTGTACTGATTTATTAGTTGCATACTACTCTTAATGTCAGGTGATGCTAGTACAGCCACAGTGCTAAAGGTTTAACTCAAACTAACAGTTGTCTTTGACCTGCAGTTGAACTGAATCTGACCCCCACCCCTCAGAAAAATGCCATAAACATCTGTTTTATTTTTAGAGCCGCCTTCAAAACTTGGCCCTCTTATCTCGCTGGCTTTGCCACATTGTTTGGCTGTGAAAGAGACTGCGTAGTGTGTTTGTTTGTGCGTGTGTTCAGTCTGCGGGACTGAATCACACCGACGGACAGACAGTAGAAACAAATGCTGAGTTTCCTTCGGGGATTTATTTAGAGTCTCGACAACACCCAGGTTTCCTTGGGTACAAACACACGGACGGACGAGCGTCTTCACGTGAGATCTCTGCACTTGATGCTTCACGTTTCTTTGTCTCCGCTGCAGTACAGTTTCTCGAGGCGCTCAGTCACATGTTTGCATGTCAGACGAGCAGAGAGGAAGACACGCTTTGTCCTCGTCTGTCTCCACGTTGACAGATCTGAAGAGGCCGCTTCCCCGAGTTTCACTCCATCGCATCTGTGTGTGCTTATATTTTACATGTATAATAACCGATGCAGAAAACCGCTCTCTCTGTCTGTTCCCTGGATTTTTAACCCTGGGGTGACAGCTTTACTGTTGTTTACTTGAAATTTCCCACACAGGCACATTTTTAAGTGAGCTCTCATCAGTAGGATGTTTGCACCGTTTTCTGCCTCACTGTGTGAGGATTCGGCTCTGAGAGGAGATTTCCTTCATCTAAAGAAACTTTTAAATGAGCCGTGTTTGTTCTCCGGTGTTTGACTGTCATTACTGTCAAAGTTTCAAACAATAAAAGGAGCCATTACAGCCAATAATCCGTCATCACCAGGAATTACACAGGAATGCTTTTCATTTGAAAGGGTTTTATTTGCAAGTCTACCATTAGGTGGATTAGAGTTGCAGGATATTAAAGGCTGTCATTAAGTCGAGAGTCATTCTCAGCTGCTTTGATGCGTGTAGTTGCATTAAACCTTCAAAACATCGTCTAATTAAGGCATCAGTTTCCCTCGATTGCATCTGTAAGGGAAGCCTTTTATTTTTCAGTGTGGCAGAACTGAGAAGCCAAGCAGAAATTCCTCAGGTTGGAAAAGCTTGTTAGTGCATCCCAGAGTGCATCCAGTATGGAAAAGCTCCTCCTCTGATGATACCAGTGAGCTCTTGAACGTTTTAGTTCTCATGTGTTCAGAGCGCTGCTGCCAAGTCGTGCTGAGGCCGAATTAAAACACGGCCGAGGGAAAAACCTTCAGCTGTCTTTCTTCTGTCAGCAGGCGTCTGTCCAACCTGTTGAGCTCTTTAAAACCAGCTGATGTTATCCAGCCATCCGCTCTGATAGATTATGACAAATTATGGTTTGATAACATGGGCGGGTCCTGTGCTTTACGGGCTGGAATAGTTTAGGTTAGGCTCTGGATAAAGTGGAAGGAATGAAATTAAGTTAGGACTGCTGTTGTTCTCGTTAATTTGTTACTAGACATGCTTCAATAAGCTCGATGAAATCGGGAGATTCTATTGGACTGAACAGCTGTTAACATCGAGTTTTATTGTTGCAGGTCCAAGTAGACACAAAGGAACTGTACAAAAAAGGAAATGTAACTGAAATGAGACGTGAAAAAAGGCCACAGAGAGAGAAAACGAAGATGACCACAAAGAAACAAAGGAAAAAACCACAGAGGAATGCAAAACAACAATGAAGGGCCTTTAAAGGACCACAGGATGCCTGAAAACATCTCCAGACACACTCAGACTACAGGCGGAGAGAACGACCACAAACAGGCTCACAGTGACTAGAAAGAATCAAAATAACGAAACCAACATATGTAAAACTACGGAAGGCACAATTTATATATTATGGATTCATTTCACTCCTCTGTCCCGTCGTCTGTCCATCGCTGCATCTTATATTTTGCGGAGGACAATCAGATTGAGCAGAGTTACTAACAAGCTGCAGGTACCTGCCTTCCCTCTCTCAGCAGGTACGTCTCTGTTCATCCCTCAAACTAAAGTCTTGAAACCGGCCGTCACCATAATTTATGAACGGCACAAAGTGATAAATGGACCCGGTTCCCTCGTGAGCTACGTTCCCACATTAACCGAGCCGCCGCCTCGCTGTACTTCCTGCGTGCTGGAGAGCTATCCAGGTGTTTGTGATTTGCTAAAGATGAATCCAAAGTGCAGAGGAAGTTTGGGAATATGGGAAATAAAAAAAGAAGACTGGGTTGTTTGTTTTGGAAACGCGATTCGATTTTCGATCTGGACAGTTTGGCTGTTTCTGCAAAAATGTATTTAATTTGAATTTAATTATCTGTGAATATCAGATGGAGCCGCTTTGATGTCTTTATTTCAGGTGTCTGATTCCCAAATAACCAAACTGAAGTAGGTAAACAAACTGTTTCTTTGCTTCTTGTTCGACACACGTGACGCGAACGACGACCTCACGCTCCGACTCGTAACAGTCACGACGTCGGCCGAGCTTTTGAGTCTGTCTGCAAACACGCTGGAAATGTTTACGTTGTCTTTCAGCATCCGTCTTCACTCAGCAGGCCAAGAAGAACCTGACACGTTATTTATGGTCTGCCTTTGGCTCTCTCTCTGTCTGTCTCTGTTTTTGGAGTGTATGAGCGCTGTTCACGTTTAGGAATGTTTTCTAAATGAGATATGCAGCTAGTGCCGTTTGCCAAGAGAACATCCAGTGTTTTCTTAGATTAAGATGCCAGTAAGCCCCTCTGGATGGATTCTGGGCTCCTCCGATATGAATGTAAACATATTCCAGTAAAAGTTTATCTTTATCCTTCACTGTTGACTTAATTTAATGAGATCTGATTGCACAGCTTCTTCTCATGAACTGACACAACTCTTCTTTTCATGAACCTCTTTGTGACACTTCAGTGGCTTCAGAGCGAGTTTGCATCATCAGGTGAAATATTCAGAGGTTTTGGATGATTTGCTATAAAATGAGGCATGACTGATTTAGTACAGCCCGCTGTGAGTAATGTGATGTATTTTGATTTTAAATGGGAATGAACTGTTTAAACAGTGTTTTCCTGTTCATTCTGACCACTCAGAGCGCTTTACAAACCACGTTCCCACAGCGCTATCTTCCATCGTCTTTCAAGCCACCCAGAGAAAACCTGAGCAAGCACAGGAAGAACATGCAAACTGCTCAAAGAAAGACTCATTAATGCACCGATAAGTCCTGCTGCAGGATAACTGCATGCATTACTGCCCACCAGGCTGCTGAGTGTTGGTGCTCTCTGTGCAAAACACTGCCAACGCTGTGGGTACGCTTATTAAAGGACATTAATGCAGCGACCACATCGTGTGCTGCAGAGCCCTGAATAGTCAGATGACATCATCACAGAGAAAACTCTGGTGTTTGTTTAGCCCACATCATTAGCTGCAAGTAGCTCAGAAGTCCTCTAAAGAGGTCACACACCAGCTGGTGCAAAGTCTGAGCTGCGCATCGCCCCCCCGTCCTCCTCAGTCATCCTGCAGAAGCTCCAAACTACCGTGAACCGAATAATTAAACTGAGCTCGACTGGAATAACTCAACAGTGAAGCTGCTTTCATCTGGTGTTTAAATAGACTGGCTTCTAGTGCTGCACATAACGTGCTCTCCTCTGCATACGTTTTAATTACCGAGTACTTCATAATGATTAGCAGCCTCTCCTGTTTGCAGACAAACTCCACAGTCCTGCATGGTGACAGTGGTCCTCGTTCTGCTCCTGATACCACCAGCCTGTAGGTTAAACACCGATGCTGTGCGTGCAGCGTGATCTCACGACAAAGCCGAACACAGCAGGTTACATGTAAATGTTTGTGTGAAGGTGGAGCCAGACTGGATTCGTCTGAGGTGCTCTTGGATTATGAGCATTTTAAGCTTCTTGAGCTTCAAAAGCATATCTAACGTGACGTGTCATCTCTGTCCTGTTTCTCATTTGTCCTCCTATCAGCTGCCGTCCTGAGTGTGATGTAACCGGTCAGACCCTCCTTCTTCACGATGATGCTGATTTTTGGTGCAGCCCTGCAGGCAGTAGGTGCAGTCAGGACCCGAGAAGCGGCGTCTGTGCACGCGATTTTCATGATGGTGTTTCTCGTCCCTCTGCTGTGGCAGCCTGCAGCATCGAGCGCCGCCCCCGAAGCCAAAACCTGGAGCCAAACGGGGCCGCGGCTGCAGCTCTCCCACTCAGGTAAGAATCACGTCAAAACGTGCTGAGAACAAGTGCTGCACTTTTGAAACCTCCAGTGTTTGAGTGTTTGAGGACTTTTCACTGAACAAGTAGACGTAATTATTTTAAAAGTGTCACAAATAGGTAAAAAGATTGGCTCTTAGGGTCTCGGGCCCCTCAGCAGTTTCCCACTTTGCCCAGTTGGTAATCCATCCTTTGGGTACCAGTAAAAAGAAATAGAGCGACAGACCAGTCAGTGAGGATTAGACCAGTCTGAAAGCTGTGGGTGTATCGTGGGTAAAGCCTGACTTTCCAGCTGTTTAATAAACAGAATGAGTGAAACCAAAGAAAATCAAGTGCTAGCTGTGATGTTTGGATGTTAGAACCTCACATCTGCACCACAAACACACCAATGACAGACATTTACATTTTCATGTCCACAGTTTATGTGACTCCTTTGGTCTCTAACTCATACAAACACTTTAGGCCTAATTTGCCAGTTTTGCGGACGATTTAAGCAGCACCATTAATCACGACTGTCACTGGTTGTAGCTTTCCACAGAGCTTTTCACTAAACACATGAAGACTGAGAGTCAGAAGGCTTTTTAGGATCACAGTTGGCCATCGAATAGATTGTTTCAGGCTTTCTTTGGTGGCCAGTAGCAGAGCTAAGAAACAATATCTTCATAATTGAGTTTAACCTCAGAGGAGGAACTTTTCCATCTGTCATCTTCCTTTTTGTCTTTTACTATTTTCACATGAGAAAACTGTGACTGTTTCGTATCGTTGTTGGGTCGCTGCCTATCAGTTAACGTCCCCACTTGTACAGTCGAGACTTGATTAAGGTGAAAGTGGATGTTGGATTATTTCCTGACTTTTGTGATGTGTGATGGTAGAACGGTCTGTCTGTATCCGGCTAACGTTTTTCAGCAGTAAAGTCATAATCTCTGGGGGCTTATTGCAGTCTGGAGAGAACTTTATAACTCTGTCAGTGAAGTAATGTCTATAATACACAAAGTGATCCGGGGACTTGTGTCACTGTAAAAATGTCCCCCACGTACAGCAAAGTCACATTTTCCTTTACTTTCCCAGAGTTTTAAAGGACACTGATCTGCGACGCCCTGATTAATGTCGATAACAAATGCTTTTTGTCTTCAGTAAAATATTTTATGAGTGCAGTGAGCAGAATTAAAGTGGGAGACTCTGTTATGAGCTAACGGTGGCCGTAAAACACTCCTGATTGGAGTCAGCACCTGCAGGTCGCTGTCATCACCCACATTCAGACTTCGTACTGCAGCGTTTAGAAGATGCAGATTTTGACTTTTTTTCTTAAAGCTGGAGGTTAATCCTCAGCTTCACTGTTGTAGACATTAAACTGTGATAATCCTCCATCGGACACAGGTCGTTTTATCTCCTCTCCCGTTAGCCTGTCTTTAAACCGGGCCCTGGATTATTGTTGGATTATAGGCTGGTTTAAAGATTTCGTTTCCCAGATAGCGAGCTTTTACTTTTCCTCGGCAGAATTATGAAACACCAAACAAATACTCCATTGGTTTTGAATATTTTGCGGATCTGTGATGATCTTTTTCTTTGTTTTCATCATATGTGACACCAAATGGACGCTTCCAGTTTTTGGATGTCAGATGAAACAACAACCTGTTGGGCGTGATTGACAGCTCAGAATAATCCTTCTGTATCATACACTTTGTTTCATTACCTGAAATGAGCAGCTTTAGCTCCTCCCACCTTTTCCTGATTGGCTGCCCCTCACCACAGAACATTTTGCTATGCCAGCCCTGCACTGATGACGCTCTCTGACTCACTTTAGCGTCACGTCTGATATTTTCTGTGTTGTTTTCTATTCAGATTGTTTACAGATACTTTGTTTTATTTCATGTTCTTTTATTGTATTTTACGTTATTCCGATTGTTTCTCCGTGGGCCCCTCAGGTAGTGAGGTTACAGCTCGGTGTGTGCTGTAGCAGGTGGGCTGCAGGGATACATTTTCCATTTTAACGCCGAGCGTCGCTGTGACGGTGAACGGAGCTCCAAAAGGTGATGAATGTGCAGCTTGTGGTTTGTTTTGAGTTGTTTGGCTGTCTGACCAACGTGAGCTTTTGTTAGCACAAGTTTGTGATTCCTTTGAGATTACGGTCAGTTTTCACAACCAAGAAAGACTCAAAAAATGTAAACAAAGTACAGATCCTAAAACAAAGTGCGGTTGTTTTTAAGTCTGGTTGGGGCCGTCATCAGATGACTCGTGATGTCTCGGCATGCTTTGCCAGGCCTGGACTGCAGCTTCACTTCCTAAAAAAAAGTCCATGTCCACTTTCCTCACTGTGCTATTTCAAATCCAGTCTGCTATCCGGTCGTTAAGTGATGACGTGACGAATCCTACTTCCGGGTCTAAAGTAGTCTGCGTTTAATATGGCTTTTGTGTTGTTAACATGTTTAATGTTTTGTATTTTCTTCTATTTAATCTCAAAAAGCTCCTAAAACAGTCAGTGATCACTGTTGACCTCCCTCGGCTTTTATTACCGCTAATCATTTATTTAAGCTCAGTTTTTAAAACCTTAGGATGTAACTACAGCCCAGCCCATGCAGCAGTATATGAGTGACTAACCTCGTATTGTGGATGGATTATCTCAGTTGTTCTCCTGGCTGAAGTTTGGTCCTTTTACAGCATCCTGCCATGTGATTACATTTGTTCCTGACCACCGAGAACACTCACGTTAACTTTTATCGAGTGGAAAAAAGAGTTAGCTTGTTTATATTATGCTAACATAGCTGTGTCGCTAGCGGTCACGTAGCACATCATCATATACCAGCTAGCCCAATTTCAGTAACCCTACAAACGTCACTGCTGTTTAGTTTTCTGTCTTCATTTATGCTGGAAGTGATAGCAGAGCTGTACGTTTTAATTTGTTTCCAAAACCCCGCAGTCAGGACATGCTATATTGTATTTAGATAGAAGCTAGCGAGCTAACTCCCTGCTAACTTCTAACTCCGTTAAATGTCATAAATTCCGTTTTCATGGATGCCTGGATGTTAAACTCAATTGTTACACCTGGTAGAGCAGAACGCTGATCATTTTATTAAAGATGAAAGACTTTAGACAGTTTTTCAACTCTCAGTAATGCCACAGTGATCGTTTATATATATATATGGACCTGGAGTTCAGGCCCAGACACGGCTAGTGACGTCAGACTTAACGACCGGATACAAAATATTACAAAGCCTTTTTGACTGTGCACATTTTTGTTCTGATGTTCTGAGTGCAGGAAAAACAGCGGTTTATGTGACAAAGATTCATCTTAAAGAGATAATTTGACACGTAAATTGAAAATAAAAATGCGCTCCACTGCAGGAGCACAACACTTAAATCACCAGTGAAGTCATCTATCCAGCTCCAATCACACTAACACACTTTTCTCCCCCTGAATGCTTGCTTCCTCCTTGGCAACCAGCAACACCAGTAAAGCCAACAACTGCTTCCTATCCAGCGGTAATTAGTTCAGGGCGGCTGGTCTCATTGTGCTGCAGTTAGCGAGTGTTTGTCTGCTGAATGAATGAGTGAAGACATGGAAGACTGGAATTAGTGAAGCAGTGACTGTGCTGTTTGTAACAATCGAGTGATTGTGCTGAAGTGAGAGGGGAGGGTTTCGGAATAATCACCGAGGACCTGACGGGACTATCGAAGTCAGAGACATTTGAATACACTCAGTGAATGTCAGCGAGACAAAGGGAGGGAAAAGGAAAGACCTGAAAGTTATTTTGATGGATTAAAGATAAAAACAGAAGCACATAATACCTCAGTGGAAACTGCAGCTCTTACATGGAGACACTTATTCTGTATTATTGTCGGGTCTTACTGTACAGCACTGTTGTTGTGATTTGGTGCTATATGAATACAATTTAACCTATTGAACTGAAGTTATTTTGGCTGAAAATTTCTGGTAATAAATGATAAATAAAGAACTAATTTCCTGTTAAGGCATGTTTATTAATAATTAATAATAGTTAATTAATCAAAATTATTTATGTCATCAATTTATGATTTCTATACAAACAGTGACCTCTGGGCCTAAAACATGAAGCTAGCACTAAAGTGTTGAAGCTGCAGTTCCTCTAGTGTCCACTTGAGGCTCCACCAGTGAGCCAGTCCCCATAGACCAGCGGTCCCCAGCCTTTTTTGCACCACGGACTGGTTTATGTCCGACAAGATTTTCATGGACCTGCCTTTAAGGGGTTGTGGATAAATATAAGAAAATAAAACCAGTACTGGTACCAAAAGAAGATGTATTCATAATACACAGGAAAAGACTCAAGGAAACAGAGTTAACGATAAAAACGATTTAAAAAATAACAATAACAACCCTGAAAACCATCAATTTCACACCCCAGCCTCAAATCTGGTACCGAACGTCTCGGGGTGGAAGACTGTAGAGCAGAAATGAACATGTTTATAGTCTGTTTTAAGTATAACTTAGAATTGTTAGGGCGTGGTCTCTGACTGACAGGTGGGTGGAGACACAGGTGGCTGTCAGCTTTCAGCGGGGAGGTGTGGCTTCACCTCAGCTTACTGGAGCTCTTTATATCAGCGGTCCCCAACCTTTTTTGCGCCACGGACCGGTTTATGCCCGACAATATTTTCACGGACCGGCCTTTAACGTGTCGCGGATAAATACAACAAAATAAAACTAGTACTGGTAGCAAAAAAAGAAGATTTATTCATAACACATGTGAAAAGACCCAGGAAAACCGAGTAAACGATAAAAACGATAACAAAATAACGCTGAAAACCGATAAAAACCCTGAAAACCATACATTTCACACCTGAGCCTCAACTCTCGCGGCCCGGTACCAAACAACTCACGGACCGGTACCGGTCCGAGGCCCGGGGGTTGGGGACCGCTG